GCTGCAGCCCCTTTTCCAGGCAGGAAGCAGCCAGGCCGGTGGGGAGACCAGCTGATGTCAGCATACCCCGTCCACCAGCCACGCCTAATTGAGTCTGACCAGCAGCCTAAGATGCAGGCCCCCCCATTTAACTGATGGGAAAACAGACTCAGGGAGGTGAAAGCCCACTTGTCCTGAGCTCACTCCAGCAAGTGCAGGAGTGAGGGCTTGAACCCAGGTCTTTCAGACTCCAAAAGCCACGACTCTGCGTCATAGGCCAAGGGTGCCCCTTGGGGAGAGCGGGTCTGAGGTGGTCTAGGTTCCTCCCAAAGAGGTCAAGAAAGTGGGTGGTTCAGGGAGTGCACAGCCTGGCCACAGACACTGCCAGAGTGTCCTCCCAGCCTCGCCCACCAGCCACCTGTCCCCAAAGCCACTCACGTCAGTGGTGAGGACCAGCCCCATCAGGTACATGGCCACGCAGATGAGCCCTGAGAACACGACCTTCTTGGGTCGCAGGTAGTAGGGGAACTCATCCGTCACAGCTGTCACAATGGTCTCCAGAAAGGCAAACTGGGGGGAAGGAAGGGGGTTTCTGAGTTCTGTCTCTGCCACACACATACACTCACACAGACACGGACACACACCACACAGATACACACATATATCACACTCCAGACACATTGCACATAGACACACAGACAGACACAAACATCACACACAGAGACACAGACACACACAGAGACACAGACACACATATCACACCCACAGACATCACAGACACACACAGATCACACAGTCGCACATATCACCCACACACAGATACACACAGCGCATGTGCCATGAGGCACCTCGTGGTATGGACAAGGCTCACCTGACTGTCCAAACCGAGAGTCAGCAGCATGAAGAAGAAGAGAAAGGACCAGAAGGGCGACAGAGGCAGCATGGTCATGGCCTGTGGGTAGACGACAAAGGCCAGGCCGGGGCCTGGGCCAAGGGCACACGGGGTCAGCAGCCTGGGGCACGTGGCAGGCCCCACATCCATACTCACACACTCATGGTCGCTCACACCCACCTGAGCAAACCCAAAGATGTCCACTAACTGCACACTCCTGATACTTTATTAACTCCTAGGACACATGCCAGCACATTGTCAGTGCTCAGTAAACGTAAGTTGATAGAATAAATGAATTAGTAATGAATAATGAGTAAATTAGTAATACCTCCTTTGAATACACTTATGTACACAACCATTTGCACAAACAATCCCACTAATACACATGCTTAAACATGTCCATTGGCACAAGACACTGATTCCCAAGATCACTCACAACAGCGATTCACTTGCACACAGACATCTCAATTCAGGATGTGACTCATTTGGACAAGCAAGGAGAGTTACTAATGTGACAAATATAAGACAGTCTCATACAGAAGTTCCTATATCTCCGGACACAGGTTAATGCACACTCACTTGCACATGGCCACCCAGAGACCAGCAGAGACACGTTCATCTCTGCGCACATGCATGCATGTGCGTACACACACTCAACACGCCCATCCACAACCTTGCTGGTCCACACACAGGCTCACTTTCCAGCCCCAGCTGTGCCCAACACACACCCTTGCCTACCAGGGCCGGGCAGCCTGCCCACCTGCTTTGGCAACTTGGTCCACAGGCACATCCAGCTCCTGAGACATGTAGCCCAGCACGGAGAAGATGGCGAAGCCGGCCAGGATGCTGGTGATGGCGTTGCCCAGAGTGACGATGAAGGTGTCTCTGCCAGGAGAAGTCCAGGCGCAGGCCAGGTGAACCTCGCCCGGAAAAGTCCTCCCCGGGCTCTCCCCCGGCCCGGCCCCCTCTCTCCTCCCAGCTGCGGCCCTGGGGTCCAGGAGGCTGCACTGACCGATAGATGTTCTGGTGAAACGTGTTATAGGAGGCAAAGGTGAGGAGACCCCCGAAGCCCACACCCAGGGAGTAGAAGATCTGAAGGGCAGCTTCGATCCACACCTGTGGCAAGAAGGATGCAGATGGAGCACAAAGAGAAGCAGCTGGCACACCGTGGTGTCAGAGAGCCAGGGAAACAGGAGGACGGAGGTGGGGAGAGAGCCAGCCAATAGGTCCAGGGATGGCGTGGGGAAGGGCCTGGCTCTCAAGTGACTTGGGCTGGGAGCACACCCAGCTTCAACACTCACACTGTGCCTCTCAGGGCCCCAGTTTCCCCATCTAGAAGGCAACCTCTAAGTTTGGTCTCCTTCTGAAGGAAGTAGTTCCTCATGTAAGATTTTCAGGAAATTCGTGTGGGCAACAAGCCCATGTAACCCTTAAACTTCCTTCCTGGAGTCAGAGGGACCTGGGTTTGGACCCCAGCTCTACCACTCTCTGGCTGTAGCGCCCCATCACCTCTCTGGGCCTCAGGTCCCTCTGCAATAAGGGAATGGGAGTAGGCTGGTGATGATTAAATGACTACATATATGCAAAGTGCTGAGAGCGTGGTTAGGCACAGTCATTTGTCAATAAATAAGAAATGATACCATTGTTGTGACTAATATTACAAAATGCCCTCCGTGGGGTTTGGAATCAAACAGATCGAGGTTAGAATCCCAGCTTTGCCACTCCCTATGTAACCGTAAGCTGATCACTGACTCTTCCAGGCCTCAGTTTTTTCATCTGTGAAATGGGAGAATAATGTCTACTTCATAAAATTGTCGAGAACAATAAATGAAGAAGACAGGACTGAGCACAGTGCCTGGTACTGGAGGCTGACCGCGTGAGGGATTCCCACCCCCTGCCCACTCTTTTCTCCAGGGATCCCTATTTCCACTTCCCAGGTCAGGCCTGCCCCCTCCCTCCCCACCCTAGTCCCAGTGGCCTCACCTTGGAAGACAACAGGTAGTGGAACTGGGGGGTGAGATAGAACTGGATGCCCTTCCAGGCCCCTGGGAGAGTGACTCCGCGGATCAGCAGCATGACCAGAATGAGGTAGGGGAACGTGGCCGTGAAATACACCACCTGAGAGGCGGTAAGTGGGAATGGAAGGCAAGGTGACTTCCTCTGCCCTGCTCCTCTTCTAGAAAGCCCCATCTTACTCCCAAGGTGGGAAACAGCCATCAACCTATGATGCTTCTTTTTTCCTCCCTCCCTCCCTCCCTCCCTCCCTCCCTCCCTCCCTCCCTCCCTCCATCATCCCTCGTCCCTCCCTCTTTACCCCTCTCCCTTCCTCCCTCTCTCCTCACACTGATCCCATCAGCAAAGTCCTGTCACTGCTTCCCAAGGCTGTCCAAATCCATCCACCCACTCCCCCTTCACTGTGGCCCAGTCCAGGCCACCATCACCCGTCCCCTGAAGGTCAGAAGAGCCTCCTACCCCACGTGTCCCCTCCCCCCAGCAAACCCACCCCATGTGGTCATCAGCCGGACATTCCCAGACTCCCCGCTGCCCTGTCTCTGCCCTCAGCCGACACCGGCGAGTCCCAGGCTCCCCGCTGTGTTGGCTTGCACCCGATGGCCTCTCCTCTCTTTCTAACGGCTTTCTTCTCTGGCTTCCTAGTGTTTCTTTTAATGGTTCTCTTCCAAATGGACATCACTTCTGAGTGCTTTGCAGAGGGACCAGTTCTGATTTATAAATGATTAAGTAAACCATTCAGGTTTCCAAGTCCTTCCAAACTGCTTTATGGCCTTCTCGCCCTTCATCACCTAAAGTGGACACCTGTGGCTTAGTCCACCCAGCATCTCATTGACCTTCTTCAGATAACAGCCCCTGACTCTCCCCAGCTGGGGCTGACTCCATGCCTGGCTCCTGGGGTGGGCCCAGCACGCCCCCCTCCTGGCCACAGTGGCTGGTTCAGGGATGGGTATGGCGACCCAGCTTACCCAGTAAGACTCACTTCTAGGATTCTGCAAACTGGGGAGAGGGAGAACCCTTCCCTAAGCATGTCAAGAGTAGCCCAGAGCTGCTGGGCAACCGCATACAGAATGAAGCCCGAGAACACTGCTGAGCGGCGGGAGAACCACAGTCCTGATAACATTAATGGAACCCCTAGACCTCTTTTCTGCCGAGGCCCGTTGAGCTATTTATAACATCATTCGTAGGCCACACAAAATTACCAACTTAAAATGAGCCTGCTCTGTTTGGTCAAACATTTCATTAACTCATCCCTAATGCTTTGGCAGGGCCGGACCAAATGATTTCTCGGGCCTGATGCGGCCCGTGGGCGGGATGTTCCCTCCACTTGCCTCCTAGACCCAGTCATGCCTGAGGCACACACTCTGGATTTTCCAATTGTGACAACTGGGTTCCGGCCACTTGCATCTCAAAGGGCTCTGATCCACAGCCACCCTCCGAGCTTTCAAGAAACACTTGCCTAGCCGCTTCTGAGTGCCAGCACTGGGTCAGGACACAAACCTGAATAACAAATAGGTCCTGCCCTCAGCAAGTTCCTAGCCCGTCCTTACCTCCACATCTTCCCCAGCTCCATGCCCTTCCCTTCCCCTCACCTCTTAGGTTCAGTCCATGCCCTGCCTCCTCCCAGAAGCCCTCACCCCGCCCAGCCCCTCGGGCCTCACCTTGCCTGAGGACTTCACACCCTTGAGGATACAGAGGAACACGATGACCCAGGCGAGCAGCAGGCAGAGGCAGAGGTTCCAGCGGATCCCCCCGGGGCTGCCGATGCCCTGGCTGCCTTGGATGTGGAGAACGTAGCGGCTGTGGGAGACGAAGGCCTGAGTGTCTGCTGGTCACGCTCCACTGACATGGAGGAAAGCCGTGGCCAGCCTGCGAGGCGATCCTGGCTAGCGTCCACTTGATTTGGTCTGTCCCCAGACTAGCTCTGCACCTGGAGGCTGCCTCTACAGACCACATCGCCCAGGCTGCCATCCCCTTTGATTGCCATTTGGATTTGGTGCGTGGGAGGCAATAGTAGGAGACTGGAGGGTGGGAGGAGTGAGGGGTTGGGGTACTTGCACACACACGTGTGCACATGCTTACGCACGCACGCACACATGCATGAGAAGGCCAGGCTGTGACTGCCTTCTTCCATAGCAAGCTCTGGTGGGCAGCCTTTCCTCCAAGGCTCCCGATCTCTCTGGCTCCAGTTCCCTGGGTCCCCCCGCTTGCTCCTTGGCTCAGGGGTGTTACAGCTGACCCCCTTGCTAGTTCCTGGCGCCTCACTATTCTGTGTGGACTCCCTCACACTGTCACCTCCCTCCACTGAACTCCCTTTGCTAACGTCTTGGGAGAGTACTGTCTGCTTTCTGCCTGCACCCCCCCAAAGCTTCCGTGGAGACCCCAGCAACTGCTGGACCCCCACGTCACAGTCTTTGGCCTTAAGCTGCAGACCCAAGCTTCGCCTTTCCCACTGGCCAGACATACTCCTCAGCAGTGCACACACTCTGGGTGGACTTTACATGGACAAACGGGGGAACCGCCTAATACATGTAGGTTGGAGACCAAAATATTTCAAGACATGGGGTCCATCTGGGGGCAGGTTCCTAAGAGCAGCCCTCGGCAGATGAAGGGTTGGGGGTACCTGGTCTGTGTCCTCTGGTCAGTCAATGCGTGACATCCTATGGAGGAGGGACTATGTTCATCCCCTTTTACAGAGGCAGAAACTAAGGCTCCAAAAGGTTACTATTACTGTTAGTACCATCAGTATTATCAGTTAGCATTTATTGAGCACTTGCTATCCACCAGACTGGATGGCAAAATTTATATGCCTTCTTTCTGTTACTCCTCATGGCAACCCTCTGAAATACTATTATACCCACTTAAAGATACAGTATCAGGCCATAGCTGTTTTTTCTCAGTGGATAGAGTGTTGGCCTATGGACTGAAGGGTCCTGGGTTCGATTCCAGTCAAGGGCACATGCCTGAATTGTGGGCTTGATCCCCAGTAGGGAGCATGCAGGAGGCAGCCAATCAATGATTCTCTCTCATCATTGATGGTTCTATCTCTCCCTCTCCCTTCCTCTCTGAAATCTATATATATATATATTAAAAAGATAAAGCATCACAAGCCAAATAAGTTGTTTGTCACATAGCCAGTCAGGTGAATATCTGGGATTAGAACCTAGAGTCCACCTAATACTAGCATCTTTGAAGTAAACACTGGGCCCCTTGGGAACTCAGGCTCATTCCTGCCCTCCCCCAACCCCCCAGGGCATGGGCCCTCCCAGACCTCCAGTACTCCTCGCTGGGGCTGACGGTGCTGGTGAGGTTGAGGGGCAGGGCCCCGTTGCCATCCTTGGAGCCTCTGTGCTCAAGGCAGAGGTCTGTGTTCCACCAGTTGCCACAGTGCTCCCAGGGCAGGTCGCTGGTGAGGGAGGCGAAGAGGTAGAAGAGGACGTAGGCGATGATCATATTGTAGTAGATGGCCACCAGGCCCACAATGAGCAGCATGGCCGCGCCGGCACCTGGCGTGGCGACAGGGGCTGCCCTTAGGCCATGCCCTCCTTGGGGCCGGCTGTGTTTCCTCCGGGAAGCCCTCCCTTTCTGGAGGTTAAAGGGTAAGGGGGCAATCACCTGGCCTCCCTCAGGCCCAGACCACTCCGGGGACCCTTGAGGCCTCACCTTTGAAAAGGGGGCTGATTTTCCAGACGGCCAGGGGTCCCAGGCTGGAGAACTGGCCCAGAGAGAGCTCGAGGAAGAAGAGAGGGATGCCGCAGATGGCCAGCATGAGGAAGTAGGGCACAAGGAAGGCACCTGTGGGGAGGGGTGGGGGCAGGGTCGCAGGGGGTCAGCTCCCCCAAAGCCCAGCTCTAGCCCCGCCCCATCCCTGACCAGTGGACACCACCTGTGACCTGAGGGAACACTTCTCCTGTGGCTTGGGACTGTCTTCTTTTCTACCATCAATCACTGAGAGCCAAGGGGTGGACAGAGATTCACTCACCTCTATAGCCCCAGTGCCTAGACCAGGGCTGGGCTCAGAGCAGACGCTGAATGAACAAATACATGAATAAACGAGTGAATTCCCTGCTGAAGAAAGGGCAAACTCCTCAGTGCCGAAATCAAGCCTCCCATTTACCTGTCCTCTCACCCCCCCACTTTGCCACCTCAGATGCTCGTGGCTGCCACCTGTGGTCCCATGTGCCCAACATCTCTCCCCCCCTTTCTTCACATATTGGCAGCCAACTCCTTAGAGAACTTCCCACCACCATATGGCTCTGGAGGGGCTGCCAGTGACAGCAGCCAACCCCTGCCCACCTCCTCATGGGCACATATCCCAAGCCAGGCCAATTAGAGACCTTCTCTGCAATTCTATATAGATTCATTCGGATGGCAGTTCTGAGGAGGAAGTCATTCCAGAGTTGTCTCTGGCCACCCAACTGCAAGGAGGAAGCCTGTCCCAGGAGAAAATGAGGCCAGCATACAGAGGGAAAAAGAGTCGGGAACCGGGGGAAGGGGTGGGGGGAGGGGGGTGCAGAGAGAACTGTGGATACTGTGAAGTTCCTGGAGCTTCAGAGCCCAGCTCCAGACCTCTTCCCAGTCATATCATTCATCTGTCGTTGCTTCGTGTAGGTTTATTTGGATTTCTGTCGCCCTGACAATATGAGCTTCTTTAACGGGTTTGGTGGAGATGGGAGGAGATATGGATTGCGGGTGGGCGTGCACTGGCTCTGCGGAAGATAGTCCTGGGGGGGATGTTGGGTCGGCCACTGTGGGACCCTGGGCAAGGAACTGGCCTCTCCAAGCCCAGGCGTCCTCGTCAGGACAAAGGTGCCCACCCAGGAGGGCTGTCGTCAGGGTTAGATGAGACAGGCATGGAGAGCATTCAGCCCGGGGCTGGCAGATGGTGAGTGCTCAACCCCAGCTATTGTAATAAGACTAAGAACAGTCACTTGATGGAGAAGCAGGGACAACAGATAATTTGTTTAAGACGGCAGAGACTCTGTGTTCGCTGTCAGAATGGAAGGAACCAGGAGAGGAAGAGAGATAGAGGATTCACGAGCAGGAATTAGATAGAGTAAGGTTCTGGAGGTGTGGCGGTGGTGGTGGTGAGAATATTGAGAGTGCAGTGACCACTGACAGGCAGATCCAGCTCTTCCTCATGAAGTAGAGGCAGAGAGCCCATCACTCAGGGCCCAGGAAATGGCCAGGCTTAGGGCTTACTGTGTCATACCCATGCTGGGGTCAAGAGAGAGGGAAGAGGGGCCTGGGTGATGAAAAGGGACAAGGCAGACAGCTCCCTCTTTCCAGTCCCAGGTTGCTATAAAACCACTTCCAACTAATTCTGCTCAAGGTCCAATAGGAGACGGTAGCTAAGGCCACTTCAAACCTCAGTCCACCCGGAGCCTTGACCCATCACTCGGCTGCTCCTCAGGCAGGAGCTCAGGCCCATACCTCCTCCGTTGGTGTAGGCTCTATAGGGGAAACGCCAGACGTTCCCCAGGCCCACACAGTAGCCAATGCAGGACAGCAGGAAGTCCAGTTTGCCTGTCCAGTTCCCCCGGTCTGCGGCAAAGTCCACATCCAGGTCTACGTCACCCTGGTCACTGGGGGTCATCAGCAGGTCTGGAGTGACGGGCTGCCAATAAGAGAAACCAAAAGGGTGGAAGAGAAAGGTGAGGCTAGGATGGATCTGTGACCACCAATACAAGAATATAGCCTTGAATAGGGCTGCAAGAAAGACATTCTATTGGTTCAGGTGATCAATCCCTCTCATCTGGGCCAACATGGCCCATAAGCAGGAGCTCCTGGAGGTTTTCGGTGACTGCAAACTTATGAGACCAGCAGGGTTGCTCGGGCACTAAGAAAGCCACCGTGGTCTTCGCTTGGCTAACACAGAGGTCAAATCAAGCGAGGGTCTTATTTTGAAGATGACAATGATGATAATGATGGTGATCTTACAACAGTCACCATGCATTGAGCACTTACTATGATTATGCAATAAACATTTTACTCCCATTACTGGATTTCATTCTCAAAGCAACCCTGTGAGCTAAGTATTCACCTAAGCTCCATTTCAATGACAGGGAAAACTGAAGGTCAAAGAGGAGTCCTGCCATGCCTGAGGTTTTTACCAGGCTGGGGAGTGGGAGAGCTTCCTGAAGTTCAAGCCCACGTCTTCAGACACAGTGCTGAAGTTTAGCTACTCCATTCTGGGCACCATATTTTAGAAAGACACAGTTTGGAGGGTGTCCAAAGGGCAGGTGGCCAGACTGGAGGTTGCTCAGGAAAAGCGGTTACTTGAGGACAAGAGGAAGGAACTGGGAAGGCTGAGCATAGAAAGGAGAGGGCTCGGAGGGACCTGAGCTCCCCTGAGGAAGGGAGTAGATTTATGCTCAAGGGGGCCTACAGAGGACTGTGAATTTTAGTCACGAGCAGGAAGTTGCTATTTAGGCACCAATCTGTCTCAGAAGTCATAATCTTCTTGTCACTGAAGGGCAAATGTATACAGAGGGAATGGAGGCCAGCTGTCCCTAAGGGCTCCCCTTGTGATTCAAGGAGGGCGGGGAAGTCCACCCGGCATTCTCCCTTCAGGCTGGGGCTAGGAGATGGATCAGCTGCTTGGAATCCTGGCCCCAAGGGATGTGAGTTAGCATGTCCATGGACTGCCTGGGCTTAGGGCCTGGAAGGAAGCCCAAAGATACCAGGATGGCCGCCTAAAATCCAGAGAGCAGTTTCCATACGTGACTCCAGGAATGGGTCAGGAGAAAGGGGTAATCCTACCTTTCCTGCTTGCCTCTGAAAGTCTCACCTTATGGCAGAAAAGATAGAAGGCCAATTATGAAAGACATCCATGGTTCTCAGAGAGAAAGAACCCCCTGCTTCCCACTGAGGAATGGTTATGGGGAAACAGTGATGCCACTGGGACCACAATTCTAGTCCCAGGTCTGTGCCAATTCACTGTATGACTTTAGGAAAGAGTTTTCCAGGCCTCAGTTTCCCCATCTGGACACTGGGAGGATTAGATAGGCGAGTGTTTCCAAAAACACATCCCTTGGTATTCAGTGGAAAAATGATTCTTGATTCAAAGAACTTTGGAAAAGCTGAGTTAACACAGTTAAGACAGGTTTCTTTTCACAGGACTTGTCAAATAGGGACTGGAATAGACAGTATTTCCCAATCCTATTTAAGAAAAGGGTTTCAAGGAGCTGGCCTGCCACCATATACTTGGGGAAATACAGGTCTAGACAATCTCTACCTAATAGTCTCTGTCTCTGATGTGTGAGGCAAGATTCTTCGCTGGATCAGGTCAGATTCACACACGGGGGCTCAGGAAAGAGCTACTAATCAGGGTTGTGTTTTCCCCTAAAATTGTCCTTCCTGCCACCAGATCAAGTAGGTGTCTACACACAAATCAGCTGGAGGCTTTGCTGGGGATTTGTCACATGAGCATTGCTGGGATGAAGGGTGCACGTGTCAGAGGACTGGATGTGTCTGGCTGTGGTGACAGGGTTGGTGCAATGGGCTCAGGTGGCAGAAATGGGGTAACAGTTTTGGGTTGACTCTCAGTGATAGTGACGAGCATGCGGTGATCCTGCCTGAGGAAGGGTAGTGGTGACCGGGACAGCCTGGCATGATTATGGGTGATGGTGACAATAATGAAGAACATGAACAGCTGCTTTTTTAAGAAAATGGGCTCCCAGGGTTGAAATATATGCCTGGGGGTTCTTTAGCTGCGACCCCGGCTGAGGTTAGGGTGGCAGCAGCTCTCAGACCTATCTGAAAGCTGCCCCTTCACCCTGACGCCTTTCCCCTCAAGGCTCCCTCACCAGCTGGGTGAGCATCATTGCGCTGGAACCACGCCCTCCTAGGTAAGCTCCAGGAGGGATGGGTAATGCCAGATGACACGGACGGATACTGAGTGGTGAGGCAGGCCTGTCACCCTGAGAGCCCCCCAGCCCCATCCCGGCCAGCTGGCAGGAAGGCCCGATAATGAGGTTCCTCTGATCCCTTCTGAGAAGCTGCTGCCCTTTCTATGTTCACAGAGCGGCCCGGCTCTCTGTTTCCATGGTGACAAGAGTTCCAAGAGCTGGATGCTGCCAGCTCTCAATCCCTCTCTTCCCCCAATCAGAGGGAAGCCTGCTTCTGCTCCAGGGGCAGGGAAGGGGGTCCTCCATCGCTGGAGGAGCCCCCAACCCCACCATGGAGTGAATCCCAGGGGCTGGAACAGAGGATGGAGCCAGTTGGGAGACAGAGGGAAGCAACCACATCAATGGGGCAGGACTGGAAGCTTAATGAGTCAGTGTACACTTCCACTGCGTGTGAGGCTCCCTCTCCAGATTACCCCCCCCCCCATTCCCCACCCAGAGTCAGAAGGAACACACCTGAGTTTGGCAGACCTACACCTCCTCTTTTAGGGACCAGCAGATATAGGTCACCAGCAGCGCCAGGGGCTGGGAGAGGTAGGACCGCCTACGCCAAGGCTCTCATATCTTTTTCAGGATGAGAGGCGATAGGAATCCTGAACCCACGTTCATCAGCGTGCAGATGAGTTTCAGGGAGGGGGAGGGATGAGCCCAAGGTCAAACAGCAAGTTAAGGGCAGAGCAAGACCAGGACCCAGATCCCTGACTCTCAGCTCAGTACTCATTTCTGAACATTGTTGCTCCTGGCATTTCCTGCCTCCCTGCCCCCTTCTCCTTCAGACCAAGGGAGGGGACCCTGAGGCTAGGTGGCCCCACCCCTGCTCTGCTGGTCCTAGGTTGCTCAGCCCACCTTCAGGAAAGCACTAAGCTACACCCCTCTCTGCCTTGGTTTCCTTGTCTATAAAATGGGGATAATAAGCCGTAGCTCCCAGAATTGCTGGGGGATTACAGGAGCATCGGCTTCACAAAACATGGCTATTTACATAATGTGTGGTCCTACGGCAATGAGGGGAGGGATTCTGGTGGGGAGGGGAGGAGAGGGAAGAGAAGAAGAGAATAGAAAATAGCCAGGCAGAACTCAAGACCCAAGAGACCCTCAAATGGCCCAAAGAAGTTACTCATGTTAGAAAGAAAAAGGACCCACTTATCAGTGGTCCCACGCGGCTGGCCAAGGGCAGAGAGCTTGAATAAACAGGGGAGACCCTTGGAGGAAAGGAGTGGTCAATAACACCGGCCCCGATGGGCAATTGTCTCGCATCTACTAGCACCTTCGACCGGGGTCCTGCTTTGGTGCTGACACGGGGGATGGACAGGCAATGGTCCAGGTTAGAGAATGGACTTGCCCAAAGCCACAGGGTAAGGGGCATCTGCAGAAATAGTGCCCTGGAGTTCTGACGCCTTGGCTGGGACTGGTAGTTTTAAGCCCAAAGCCAGGAAACATGGCCAATACTCTCCCTGCCCAGGCCTGTGCCACTTGGCTGGGAGGTCGAATCCCATAGGACAAGGTGGGGAGGGGCTGAGGGCTGGGCCCAGGGCCCAGGGCCCAGGAACACATAGATTTGGCCGCCTCTCTCATGCCAGCTCTCACCCCCATATCCCTTGGGTCTCCAAGTTCCTCACTCCTTGCCTTTGCCTCCTTCTGCCCTGCTGAGGGGCAGCCTGGGGTCTTAGCAGGAACACTAAGCTGCCTGGGGAAGGAAGGGAGCGGGAGGAAGCAGGTGGTGGGCCCCGCAGGCAGGAGCAGGGGCTGGATGGCACCGGCTGCTTCAGCCTAGAGTGCACAGGGGAGGACCAGGCCCACACTGCTTCCCCGCCATCCCCACCCCCGAAATTAATCAAGTTCAAGGCTGGTGCTCAGCAATTCCCCCCGCACCGCCATCATCCCCCCCCCCCCCCCCCCCCCCCCCCCCCGCGCCTCCCCGGGGTAGGGCGATTGGAGAGGGGTGGGTGCCTGGCCCTAGCCACCCCTACTTCCCGCCTCCTGGGCTGCAGACACCTGTTCCAGGACCTGGCCCAATGAACCCCAGGCCTAAACACGCTACCTCCTGACCCTCAGAGGGGGTGGGGTGGTATGGGGTGGCACAGGCCGTGACCCGTCCCTCCCTGCTATCCAACTCAGCCCGGCCTTCCCCGGAGCTCTGAACTGGGTCCTGGCGCCCCCCTGCCTTCCCCGGGCCTCGCTGGGGGCGGGCCTCCGCACTCCCCTCTCAGGTGCGCCCCCAGCCCGCCCTCGTGCCCTACCTTTCGGAGCTGAGCTTCCTGGAGCTTCTTCATCTTGGAGGGCAGGTTGCTGGGGCTTCCCGGCTTGTCTTCCCTTCAGCGCAGAGAGCAGGGAGCGAGCGGGAGAACCCGAGATGCGCCGCGGGCCAGCGCCGCGCCTTTGCCCCGGCGGCTCCGTGCACCGGCTTTGGGGGCGCGAGCGCAGGCGCTGCCGTCTGTCGGCTGCGGGTGTGGGGCGCAGAGCGGAGCTGCGAACGCCAGTCTCTCTCTACGCAGGGCCGGAGGCTGGGGAGGGGTGCACGGCTGCGCCCGCGTAGACACCCAAATGGACAGACAGCGGAGGGGTAGGGATGGGGGGATGCGCGTCCCCTCGCGCAGAGCTAGGATTGGAGGGGCCAAGCGCGTAAGGTGGGGGTGTCTGCGGTGGGAATCCTAGGAGGTCTGGAGGCCTCCGTCACAGTCTCCTGCGTGACCTTGGGCAAGTAACCTCCCCTCTCTGGGCCTCTCTTTCCTCGGCTGGGCAATAACAGTCCGTTGTGGGTTCCAGCATCCCAGTGCCTCCTCCTTTTGGCTGTGTGACCTTCCCACATTGCTTAACTTCCCTGCACTGCCACTTCTGCATCTGGAAAATGGGAATAAGAATCTTACTTCCCCGCCCTAGCCGGTTTGGCTCAGTGGATAGAGCGTCAGGCTGTGGACTGAAAGGTCCTGGGTTCGATTCCTGTCAAGGGCACATGCTTGGATTGTGGGCTCGATCCCCAGTAGGGGGCGTGCAGGAGGCAGCCGATCAATGATTCTCTCTCATCATTGATGTTTCTATCTCTCTCTCCGTTCCTCTCAGAAATCAATAAAAATAAAAATAAAAGAATCTTACTTCCCTTATGAGGAACTCAGGGAGATGGTGCATAGAAAACATTTAGCAGGGGGCCAGGGACATAGTAGGGGCTCAGTAACATTTAACTGACCACTCCTGCCAACAAAAGAAAAACAGCCATTAGTCAGATATTTACCCAATCATCCAATCCACCAATATTTATTGAGTACCTAACGTGTACCAGATCCTAGGCTAGGTCTTATTTCATCAACACAGTGAGCTGGGGAGGCAGATGGTATTATCCCTATTTTACAAATGAGGAACCTGAAGCACAGAGAGGTTAAGTTCCTCACTCAAGGTCACACAGCTGGTGAATGACACCAGTGCCAGAGTCAGGCCTCATGGAGATTCCAGGCCAGTAGTGGTCCTGAACACTCCCTTTTCCCTTGAGCTGAAAGTGAAACAGGGAGGTTTGGGCAAGAAGAAACAGGGCAAGCACCACTGGGTCATTGTGATGGTTTGTGACTTAGATCATGAGCACCTGGGCTCCTGTCCACCACCAGCAGTATGACCATGGGAATGTTATGATTGCACATCTGTCAAATACTCAAATGGGCCACCAACCAGCCCTTGCCTGGCTGACCTCATACAGCAGTGATTTTCAACCTTTCTTCATCTCATGACACACATAAATGCGTTACTAAAAGTCTGCGGCACACCAAAAAATATACTATTTTTTGCCAATTTGCAAATAATAAGTATAATTTTGATACATTCACATAAGATGGCTATTGTTGTGTTGGCTGTTGTCATTTTTTTATTTGACAATCTAAGGGAAAAGAGGTCAGTGTCCCTGACTAAGTCAGGTATTACATGTTTAAAAAATTCTTGCAGCACACCGGTTGAAAATTGCTGACTTAGAGTGTTATAAGGTTCCAGAGAGCCTGTGGCTAGGATGGAAAATTATTAGCTAGAGTGAATATATGCATTGGTTTGTGGGACTGAACCAGTATATGCTAGTGAACCTGGCATATGCATTAAAAATTGTTCCCCTTTCACTCTTGAAAAAAAAATTTTTTTTTATTGATTTCAGAGAGGAAGGGAGAGGGAGAGAGAGAGATAGAAACATCAATTGTGAGAGGGAATCATTGATCGGCTGCCTCCTGCATACGCCAGTGTGCTGGGATGGAGCCTGCAACCTGGGCCTGGGCCCTGACCGGGAATGGAAACGTGACCTCCTGATTCATAGGTCGATGTTCAACCACTGAGCCTTGCCAGCTGGGCCCCTTTCACTCTTAAAAGTGTCCCAGCTCAGACACTATTTCACAGGGTCATCCTACCATCAGCCAACATGGGGAGGCCTTGAGGAGAGTGAAGATAGGAGCTGCTGTTTACACCCCTGGAGCCTGGTAGGAGGTGGGAAGGGTTAAATCAAAGCAAAAGCTTGGGGAAAAGGCTTGGTCTGGTCCATCCCGGGCCCACCTCTCCTCCCCCAGTTCCACCAGCTGCTCCTTCCTTGAACCTGGCCTCCCAGGGCAGGCCAAGGGCTCTCCGGACCCAGGAGGAAGGAGCCCCTTGGCCATGAGTGAGAAGGGAAGGAGCATTCGCCCAGCCCTACTGTGTGTATTAGATGAACTCGTATCCAATATTGATTTTCAACTCTTTCTAGCAGCCTGGGAGGACAGGTTTGTGCAGCCCCATTTGGCACCTGAGGACTCCGTCTCAGAGGAGTGATGTCACTGAGTCTCTGAGTTCTGAGATAAAACAAGGGGGTCATGGGCTGTGCCTGGGGATCCCAAGGAGGCCCAGCCAGTACCCTTCTTCCCCCCTCCCTGGAGGCAGCTTTACTGAACCACCCCCTCCCATTGGCACCCTGGTTTCTTTAGACCCCATGGAAGGCACAGAGAACCATAGGAACAGGAAACAGTAGCAAGGCATTAGCTCCAGAGCCTCTTATGGCCCCTTCCCAGCAGCACCTGCTCTCTCTAGATCCAGCCCTGGAGGGAGCCAGCCCTGGGGGACCGGGAAGGAACAGGGCCGGGGCTTCAGCCTTCCTGAAGCAAACGTATCGTGGGGTGACTCCTGAGCATCAGCCGTAGTCACTGGGCGCACATGGTCCTGGCCCACACCTTTCATATGGGGAAACTGAGGCCCAGAAGAGGTAGGACTTTGCAAAATCACTCTGTGGAGTAGAGGCAGGGTGAGGCCTGGAATCTAGGAGTCCGACCCCACCCAGGCTGGGCCCTCAGATCACACCTTTCTGCCGTCCTATCCCCACCACAGCTGCTGTGGGGGAAATCTGTACTTTATAAAACAAACAAAACCCAGCATCGGAAGACAGGGTCCACATAAGTCAATCTACCCACTGAAGCCCCGGTTTTATGATCATACAACTGGCCACGCAGTCAGCTACCAAGCATGGTGGACCATTGCTACCATCCCAGAGGAAGTCGGGGTACTACCTGGCAAAGGAACTATTTAGGAAACCAAACCGGGGAATACTCAATCTATCTCCCCCCCGCCCCTCCTCTCTCTCTTCTGTTCTCACATCAAAAGAGAGATGGAGATGTGTGCTAATTTAAGGAAAGTGCCAGATGAAAATGCACTTCCTGTTATTATGTAGGGAGATATTTTTAAATGCATATAAATAAACATTTTTAATTTGCTTTAATGTTCAGGCTTTATAGCCGTAGAGCATGTGTTTGGTTATACCCGTGAGTGGCGACCGAAGAATGAGGATCCAGATTGCTGGCCCATCTGGTGTGGTTCCGAGGAAGTGGTTCTGGAGCAGCCAGGCTAGGAGAGGCTTGCCCTCCAACGCGGCCCTGTCCCAGGCCTGCTGGGCCCCAGGCTCTGCATCCCATTAGCTGGGCCTCTCAGCCACCCAGAGCCAGGCTGCTTTTCTTGGAGCCCCACAGTCCTCTGTCCCCCCATTGTAACCTGTTACACACACACACACACACACACACACACACACACCCGGGCTGCTGGAGACTTCCCGTGTGAGAACACTCCACTCCCAGCCCTGAGCTGGGTCCTTCCTGGGGCTGGGCTGTGACCCTCTCAGCTCAGCCCACACCAATCTCTGGGCAGTCAGTGATGGCCTCCACTAGACTGATGTTCTCAGCATGGCATGAAGGGTCTAGAAGGGAAATCGTGGTGCTGATGGGCATGTTTCTGGGTCAGTAGAGGCCGTGACCAGGCCCACGGCCTTCAGGCGAGGCCAGATCTGACTTTTGTCTGGACCCCGGGTCTCCAGTATCAATGAGCCTGCCAAGCAGCTGGAACATCCCTCAGCACTGGGGTCTATGAGGACATGAGGGGGTCCCTTTCCTGAGTCTTACAACACCTGGTGGAACTCTCCAGGCGACAGGGAACTCACTGCCTCACAAGCCAGCCCGTGGCACGGCTTGGAAGTTGTTTTAGAGAAGTTTCCTTTCTCACAGCATTCACCCCACTTGACAGGTGATCACCAACCCAACCTGAGGGCCCCACCCAACCCCTGGTCTCCCATGTAGGTAGCAGCTGCGGCTCTCCCAGCCTGCCAGGCCTGGCCACTGACCTCCTGACAGGAAGGTCTTCCGGTGGCTGGGGACAGGCTCGTCCCGCCTCAGATCTTCCCAGCCACCATCTGTCCGCAGCATTGGGGGTGGGGTAGGTAGAACATCAGTCAGGCCTGGCAGCCTGTCACACGGGGATGCAACAGCTCTATGAGCAGGTGGCAGAAACCCAGAACTTACTATGTGCTGGGCCCTGTTCGGAGATAGGTTAGAGTATTTTTTTTCTCTCCTCCATTTGACAAATGAGGAGGCTGTGGCTCAGAGAAGCTAAGTAACTTACCTGAACTCTCACAGCCTGGACGTAGTTAGGCTGGAGCCCAGGGCACCTGACAAAACCTGCTACTAAACACTGAGTCACAGCTCAAGTGTGGCCCTCCAGCCCACAGAACCCCCACTGCAGAGCGCAGGGTGTCCAGTGGGGTGCTGGCAGGTGCTAGTAGGGGGCTCCTGGGTAGTGAAGCATGGGGAATGCTGGACTAAAGAAGATTCAAGGGGTGTCTTTGCTGTGGGACTGGTCAGAGCCTTTGCTGTGCTGATGCACCACCGTGACTCCACCAGAAGGGTCGAGTCTGTAGGACTTTCCGAACTTACTTGACCAGAGCCATTTGTTTTTGGCAAACCAGCTCCCCAGTTTTAGATGGGGCACAAGGCCCAGAGAAGGGAAGTAGTGACCTCAGGTCACACAGCAAATGTTGTTGATGATCAGAAAACTATATTCACTGCCAGCCACCCTCCCACCAACCCTCTTCTGCTCCCGGGACCCCGGTCCTTTCCCTGGTACACCTGGTTCCCGTGCTTTAGATGCCCAGCACCTTCAGTGAGGCCGCCTCTCCCACGCCACCACCAGGAGGAGAGAGAGGAGTGCCTGCTGCCTTGCAGGGGCTTGTGTGTGGGAGGGATCCACCCGGTGCCTTGTTGTCATGTGCCCCAGGAGCAAAGGGCAGGCTGTGCACACCTTTTATGGCTGGGCCACCTCCCAGAACAGTAAACAGAGGGCAGGCAGCTGGCACTGGAGCCCTCCAGGTAGCAGACTCCTGGCCACCTCTGAAAGGGAGTTGAGAACAGCAGCTTTTCTCAGGCGTTTAAAAAATTATACATTACGTTCATACAGCTCAGATTCTTTATTATCATTCCTCCCTTCTCGGCCTGACAGCACCCACTAGTCCTTTAGGCACCTGTTCAGACCTCACCTCCTCCAGGAAGCCTTCCAGGCCCTCCAGGAGAAGCACAGTCCCTGAATGCTCTGCTCTCTGAGGCCCAGAACTAACTCAGATTGGAGACTTCTGGGGGGCACAACCATGCCCTGGCACGTGCGGGTGCCCAGTAAATTTTGTAAAATCCTGAGCTGAAAGTGTCTGAAAAATTCAAAAGACTGCTCTATTGAGTCTGATGATTCTGCTTACAAAACGGACTTAAAATTTTACAGGGTCTCATAAACTTACTCTAACAATGTCCTGTTTTAATCGTTCAAATGCATTTTAAAGGTGACCTTGTTGTAGGCCGACGGAGGCTGTAAGGGCTTATGCAATTGTCAGGAAAGGGGGAGGATGATTTAGACTTAACATTTCCTTTAATGCTACGTAAAATGATTTTTATACACCTTTAAAAAGAGGAAAAAAGTTTATTCTTGAAGCTGTATCCAAGAGGCTCCACTCTATGTACAACACTTGCCCAGCTGTGAGCTCTACTTGGTCCAGAGAAGTCCTCTGAGGGCCCAGGGGCAGCCTGGTGAGGTGGGACTTGGCAGGGAGGGCTCTGACCTCTGTCCCCCTCCAAGGGCCTCCCCCACCCTGGAGCCCCATTGAGCATACTAGTGAGGGGACAAGGCTCTGCAACCCGGAGGGGACAGTCATCAGAGCCTCTCGGGCCCATTCCTGTGGGCTTTTGCTCTGCGTCAGCCTGGAGAGGTTCAGGGTGTGTTAGGATGGGGGCAGGTGGAGGCGAGGCTGCAGGACCGGGCAGGTGGGAGCTGATCACATTCCTCCCCACAGGCCAACATTCCATCTTCCCTCAGCTTCATCTCCTTTCTCCAGGATCAGTCTAGTCCCTATAGCAGCCTTCTGCCCTTGAACCTACGGAGAAGGAGATAGGGATGGGGACTTATCTTGACTCCCTCACCCAGCCCTCTAGGGATGGAGACCTCCCACCCTGGGTTCCTTTATCCCCCTGAGGCCTAGAAAAGAAAAATGTCCTTATCCAAAGAGCTCGCTGCACAGATTGGCCAAGGGCACACAGGGGCTGGGTGGGTGACTTGTCCAAGGTGACCCAGAAGGTCAGTGACAGGGCTGGGACTCAGACCAGGCCTCCTGAGCCCCAACGGGAGCCACATTCCCAGCATCTGAGTCCCCAGGCCCCCAGCCCACAAGGCTGGGCGGGGGGCTAAGGCAGATACTCCTCCTTGACAGGCATTGGGGAGGAGGCGCCCAGGAGGCTAGCGGAGCTGGGGCACAGGCCCCCCAGGGGCGGCCCAGCGGCCGTGGGGGTGACTTCGTGGGCTGGCAGTGGTGGCTGTGGGGGCTGCTGCTGCTGCTGCTGCTGCTGCTGCTGTTTCTTCTTGTTCACTTTGCGCTCCTTTGCCCTCCGGTTTTGGAACCAGATCTTCACCTGTGGTTGGAGAACAGAGGTGGGTGGTGCGGAGACCCGGTGACAGTGAGAGGAAGGGAGGGAGGACAGCTGAGCTCTCACTTCTTGATGTGGCGTTTGTGGCCTCCCTCCTGCTCCCGACACCCAGACCATTCGTGGACCCTGAACACATTCTCCTTTCAAAAATGTGCTCCCCTACTCTCATGACAAGCTCTCCTGTAGCCTTCTTCTTCCCCATCTCCCAAGGCCATCCTCTAACACCCCTCCTCCAGGAAGCCCTCCCTGTTCTGCCTGTGACTACTCCCTTGTCTGGATTTAAACAGCACTGATCATAGCCGGCTTTGGTCTATAGCTAATCAGGTCCCCTATTTCCCTATTGGGAATTAGGGGTATTGGGTTTTGTTGAGGGAGGAGAGGATTTGGCAGTGGCTCAGTTTCTGCTGTGCTGTGTGACCATGGCCAGGAGGCTCAACCTCTCTGTTCTCCTCCTTTGACTGAGCTCCGTAATCTGCCTGACAGCCTGGAGGCCAGACTCCCAGTGCAGCTCCTGTGGCTGCGGTGGGGGTCCCACACACCTGCCGTTCAGTTAGCCCCAGGTTGGCAGCCAGCTCCGATTTCCGCCGGATGGTGATATAACGGCTGTAGTGGAACTCCTTTTCCAGCTCCAGGCGCTGGTGATCGGTGTAGACCACGCGGTACTTGTCTTTGGTCCGGGTCTTTCCTGAGAAGCAGAGGGGAGGTGAGTGCGGAGGGGCAGCCTGCAAAAGGCCCAGGCAGGGTCCCCAGGGTCCCCAGCCCTTAGAAGAAGGACCATGAGGTGGGGAGGGAGGCACACCCCAGCCCTGGGGCCCCCCAGGCTCAGGCTTGAAGACTTCCTGAGAGGCAAGCACTTTGGGGAGGCGCTGAGGCACAGAGAGGGGAACAACTCTCTCAGGGTTACACAGCAAGCTGCTGGTGGGGGTGGGTTTCAATCCTGGTCTGCTGACCCAGAGCCCTGCTCTGATCACCAGCTCCTCCAGCTTTAACCCAGCAGCTTTGGGTGTGGCTGCACGACAGGAAGTCCGGGAGCCTGTGGAAAGCAGCTTCCAGGGCTTCCCTGACCATGTGAGTCAGAAAGCCTCGGCGTACAATCTGCATTTTTAATATGTTCCCCAGGTGGTTCCATTCCAGGTCCTCAGACCACAGGTGTGAACACCAGTGAGATGGAGGGACACCTGGCAGGCAAAGGCAGGTGGAGGCTAATGATGGCAGCTGTTCCTTTCTCCTGTGCAGAGGAGAGCAGGGAAGAGCCACTGTAGGCAGGGCGGACGCTTGCTGGACTGTCCTGGGTGTATGGCACCTCGATTCCTATTGAACGTGGCTGCTGATGACCCTTGAGGACCTAGAAGTTACCTTAAGAGGCCCTAGCCCTGCCCAGCCAGCATGGCTCAGTGGTTGAGCATCAACCTATGAACCAGGAGGTCACGGTTCAATTGGCCAGGTTGCCGGCTTGATCCCCAAGGCGGGGCGTGCATGAGATACCAATCAAATGATTCTCTCTCATCATTGATGTTTCTATCTCTCTCTCCCTCTTCCTTCCTCTCTGAAATTAATAAAAATGTATATTTTTTTAAAAGAGGCCCTAGCCCTGAACACCAAGCCCTGAGCTAGGGGTGAATAGGGGCTGATCTTCCTGAAGCCATCCACCCTTCTGCCTGTGCCCGGGCACAGAGCAGGAATGACTGCTCAGCTCACAAGTACTTACTGAGCACCTGCTGTGAGCCAGGCACTGGGGTACATCAGGAAAAGCAAAACTGAAAGATTCAGGGCTCCAGGCAGAGTGAACAGCAAGTGCAAAGGCCCTGAGGCAGAAACATGCCTGACATCTGACGTGTGTAAGAAACAGTGAGCCGTGGCTGGAATGTACTGAGGAAGGGCGGAGGGGTGGCTGCCCAGAGCCTTACAGGCCATTGAAAGGACTCCGGGTTTTCCTCTGTCTGGGATGGGAACCATTGCAGGGTTCTGAGCAGAGGAGACACGAGGTCTGAAGTACGTTTCAATAGCTGCTGCATGGAGAACAGATTGGCAAGAAGAAGCAGGAAGCACAGAGAGACCTGCAATAACGCAGGAGAGTGAAGGCGGTGGGTTGGCTTCTACATGGGACTCAGCCTGGGGCCAGGAACTGGATTGGAGGACTGACTGGGGTTAATGTCAGGGCTTATTTTGGGGCTGGGATCAGAGGTCTGTCTGGAGAGAATATTAAGAGTCATGCTTGGCCTGGGCTGGTGTGGAGGCCTGACTAAACATGAGTTTTCTTTGTAAAAAGCTGAGCACATGGCTATAAATAGGAGGCACATGCAAGCACTCAGACCTACACATGCGTCCCACCAGGGCATGGTGGGTCTCTGAATCCCCATCAATTCCCCCCTCCCTCACCCAAGTGCCCCCATAACACCCCAGCCTTCACCTCTGTCTGGGTCACAGCTCTGGTCTCCCCTGTCCTTCAGCACCCCTGTCCTAACTACCCCACACCCCGATCCAGGCCCCACCCCCTCCACCAAGCCCACGCAACTTGGCAGGACAGCACTGGGCTCCTCCAGAGCCAAATGGTTTTGTGGAGAATGGGAGACAACAGATCTTACTGGGCTCTTTTCCCTGGTTTCCTGCCAGAGCAGCGGAACCGCGCTGGACGCTCCCACATCCACTGCCCTCAGCTCACTGCCCGACGCAGCACGGGACAGCCTCGGCTCGCCGCCCGGCCTGGCCCAGGAAAGGGACAAGGGAGTGGCTGCTAAGGCTTTGGTCCAGATGGAGCCCCTCCTCGGCCTAGAAGATTCAACGCCAGCTCAAAGTCAGTTCCGCCTAATGCCACCACCCCCCTCCCCCATAAGAGCCCGGAGCTCTGCACCCACAGCCCACTGGGCTCGCCGGGCTAAACCAAGAAGGGGTCATGGGAAGTTCGTCTCTCTCGTCTAATAAAGGCAGAGCGCCCGGTTCAGGATGCTTATCCAGCTGCCAGAGATCAAAATAAGAGAGGCCTGGTGGTCCTTCCAGTCCCAGCCTCCTGCTGTGGTCAGGGTCACTGAAGGCCCTGGCAGTCGGACTCGCCCAAGACCACGTCCCATGGTCTAGAGCTCTCGCTCTCCGTTATCATTCACGACTCCCCACCCACCAGGTTTAGGGGCTGCAGGACTCGCCATGGACCCCACCTAAGCATTGGCAGCAGAAGCTCAAACAGCAGACTACCCATCTACTTGTACTTCTGGGAAGGGAGGGGCCAGTCTGTAGTGAGGGCAGACCCCTGAGAGCCATGGGCCGCAGCCGGAGGGTCCAAAGGCTGGGGGCCTTGGAAATGCCCAGAAGACTCACAGCCTGAAGTGGGGAATGAGGCTCCCTGCCCACCCAAACCTCAGCCTGAGATTCCAAGCAGTGGTTATGCAGTTACCTGTCCCCCAAGACACCCAGCTCTCACTCCCATCCTTTCTCATGAGCAAGCAGGGAACCATCACACCCATTTCATAGATGGGGGAAATTGAGGCTTAAAAAGGGGCCCTTGCTTAGGACTATTCTGCCTGGTAGTGGTATGAACCCGGGCTCAGGTGTCCTGACCTCTAGCCCAGCTCTTCCCAGAGTCCAGGTTGTGGGTAGGGGCTGAGGCCAGTTGGGAGGTGGGACTCTACCTGCATAATTAGTCCTCTCTGTTCTAGCAAGGCGGCCAGTGAAGACACAGCCCATAGACCTGGTCTTCCCCGTCCCCCTTCCCCCTCTGGGCCCAGGAGAGGGGCTGGTGGGCTCAGGAACCTACTGACCAACTTCTATTGATAGAGCTGCTCAAAACACAGTTTAGAAAATGGCTCTGCTAAAGAACAAAATGTTTGCTGTCACACCATGTGGTCCAGGAGCCAGGGAGTCCCACAGGAGCCCAGCTCGGTGATGTGTAGCCTCATTGAGCATCACATACCGCTTACCCAATCATCCCACCTCCAGGAGCGGATCCCACAGAGAGATGTCCAAAGCTGTAGCTGTTTGAAGCGATGTAAGACTAAAATCACTGTACATGCTACAGGTAGGGAACATGTTAAATAAAAGATGGCGCATCCATGGAGACGAGCTTTATGCAATCATTCGGAAGAGACTGTAAAGCTCCATCTGTACCAACATGGAGCAATGCCTAAGATATTTTGTTGAGTAAAAATAAAAGCAAGATATTGAATGTTGTGAATAATGTTACTGGTTTTGTATAAAAATGGGGACACACACACTCACATATACCCCATCACATGTTTGTGCACCCATAGGGTTCTTTCTGAAAGAATACACAAGAAGCCATTAGCAGGAGCTGCCTCTGGAGAGAGAACTGGGGAGCCCCAGGTAGGAGGGAGTTTTAGGGGTGCTTAAATTTTTACCATGTGCAGATGTGAACTTGTTTTTAATGACAGGATCCCTGGGCTTCAGTTACAGCTCTGGGCCAGAACTCCCGAATGCCCGAAGCTACCCTCACTCCCTCCCCCCTCCTAGGAGCACCTGTGCCACCCTGAAGCCCAGGAGGGAGGGAGCAGGGAGGTGCGTGAGAGTGGTGGGGCGGGGAGAGGGCCCAGGATCAATGATTTACAGGCCGCTGGGGTGCTGGGGCTGAGGGGGAAGTCCAGGCTCCAGTAACAGGTGTCTGATGGGGGCCTCCGCGCCCAGCCACCTAATAAATAACTCTCTGGGCCAGATGCCAGTGTGAGTGGGCAGGGGGAGAGTGGGGAGCCCCCAGATCTTCAGGGGTGAGCATGGCAGGGAGAGCATTGGGTCACTTTCCCAACTGCGAGGCTCTCTCTCTGCTCTGGCTTTGGGACTTGAGGAATGGCCACCCATGTGCACCAGACCACCGTGGAGGTCAAGATCCCCATCCCCTCAGTGTGCACAGCAGAGGCCCTGGAAGCTACAGGCTAATGGCTCAAACGCCTGGCCAGCAGCCTCAGAACTGGCTGGGAGCTTGTTAGAAAGCACAGATTCTAGCCCAGACATTCAGACTCAGTGGGGCTGAAATAGGGCTCAGGGATCTGATAGTTGAAGAGCTCTCTGGTGACCCTGACGCGTGGCTGTGCAGTACAGCTTCTCACTGGCTGCGTGACCCACAACACTCACCCCACCTCTCTGAGCCTTATTTTCTTTACTATAAAGTGGGGATAATTATTATTCTAATTAGGGCCAACATGTCCACGGGTCAGGTAGCTTGTATATGCCTCTCAACAACCTATGAAGTTGTGCAACTATTATCTCTATTTTATAGACGGGGAAACTGAGGCTCAGAGAAGTCCACACATCTGGCAGGTGGGATTTAAACCCAGATCTGTCCAGCCTCAGATCAGCACTAGCACCTACCACAAAGTGTAAGTTCTCCTGGAACCACCCAACCGTGGTATGTCCAGGGGATCACGTGAGATGGATGGAGGACGCCTTGCACAGTCCCTGGCCTGCAATGGGTGTGTGGGGAAGGGTAGATTGCATTCATTTCCAATAGTGGCAGGACAACCATATGGCAGGAATGTTGGGGAATGATTTGTGCAATGGGTGGTGTGTTAGACGAGACTGTTTATTTATAAGGTCCCTTCCAACTTGGAAACGCGAAGCTCCCAATGTTTGTTGATTCTCTGATTGTGTTTGTTATTGTTGCTGAAAGAATTCTAAGGCTGATTTCCCTGTCTGAGAGTCTAGATGCAGAGCCTGCCCAGCTGGAGGACAGGGGGCAAGAGCCACACAGCCTTCAGCGGGGCCTCCCCATCCAGCCTGGGCCAGGGGAGGACAGAGTCCAGACTCTGCCTCAAGGGCGGGGTGGGTAGCGCCAGGAAAACCGAGTGGACTCTGGGTCAGCACTTCCTTTGCCCTCTTGTGGCCCTGAGGGATGACACTGCCGGCTCTGGCTCTCAGGGCCTGGGACACAAATCCAGCCCTGGACCCTCTGTCACCCCTCCCTGTGTGGTCCAGCCCTGGCTGTGCACCTAATTCCCCCAACACACAGGCGCTCCACCCCAGATCTACTGCATCTGGCCTGTCAGTGGGAATCAGCGGGGCCTCGGCCCAGTTCTGTGTTGTCTGTATGGCCTTGAGTGAGTCCCTTTCCCTCTCTGGGCCTCAGTTTCTCTTGTGCATCAGAAAAGGGTTGGGGTGTCAGCTTTGAGGGCCCTGTAGTTTCCGAAGTTCTGTGCAGCTCTGAGCCCTCCCATAAGAACCAGACACCGCCCCCCTCACCCCCTCACTGTCCACTACCTGGGCAGCACCCACAGGGAGGGCATGGTCTGCACATCCTCCAGCCAAGTGCCTCAGACACATGAGGGGCAGGAGGCACCTGTCTGTAGCGCTGGTCTGGGGAGGACAAAGAGAAATGCAAGCTTAGGGACCTTTGGCAGGAGGGAGCTCGGGGAAGGGGGAAGGACGGGGTGGCCATGGAATCCCACCGCCAGGAGTCCTGAAACTGGAGTGGGGAAGGAGAGACGTACTTAACTAGAAGGAGGGTGGGCAGTTTTCAGTATACTGAGGAGGAGGAAGGAATTACATATATGTTGAGCATGCAAATAACTTTAATATAAAACATGTGAGGTGCTACCCAGATAACATATATAAGAGGGCTGCAAAGGTGGCAGGGTAGCCCTGAGGTGGTGACGCTTCTGGTGAGGCCTGATCCTAGCAGCTTTGCCACTGTCCTGAGATTTGGGGAAGGCTCGCTACACAGGGGGAGGGGGAGAAGGGAGGGCCCGAGGGGAGTGGTCCTCAGACCTGGCTGGCCCCTGTCTGACCACCCTTAGTTGAAGGAGTTGACAAGTGGCTGAACCTCTTTGGGCTTCCTTCCCCCTGGGGAACAGATGGACGTGAAAGCAGTTTGTAAAGGGCAAAGAGCTATGGAGACGACCAGGAGAACTGAGCTATTTGTAGAAGCGGATGCTGGAGGCTCCCCTGGGAGAGGGAGGAATGCCGCCTGATGGGGAGCAGCAGGGCAAAGAACACGCTGGCCTGGGTGTGGGGAGATCTGGCTGGGCCACCGACTGCACATGTGATGTTCGGTTTGGGTCTGTTTCCTCATCTGTGCCGCCAGGGGTGGGACCTCTGCTGTGGCAGCCCTGACCCGACCAGTTCCATGATGGATAGACGTGTCTCGTGGGCCGTGAAGCTTTCTTTTGGGCTCTCGACTGGGTCCTTGTTCCTGCTGATGCTCTATCACAGTTCCTCATTCAAGCCCCGGAGCAGGGGTGAGGCTGGCATGGGGTGGGGAGAAATGGCCTGGCCAGCCACACCAGGATCCTTGCAGCCTCGGGCAAGGTTCTCTTCCCCACTGTCACCCTCCCCCCACCTCCCCAGGCCACCTGTGTGCCATCCCCTGCCCTCTCTTCTCCCTGCGGGTCCACAGCCTGGCTTGGCCTGGGAGGCAGCGAAGAGGACAGAGCATTCAGAGTCAGACAGACCCGATGGCTCTCACCCGCCCGGCCACGGGCCGGCTGTGTGAACCCAGGCAAGTCATTGAACCTCTTTGAACCCCAG